CTAACTCCCTACTGATAGGTATATACTCAGTAATTGTTCACTATGGCAAACATTGCTACAATGAATTTGACTGTTTAAGGCCTCTGTGGATACACTTGGAAGTGCTAGAGCATTGGTATGTATATTTTTTCTTATAGCAATCACTGCAAAATTGTTTTCTTACATGACTATACTAATTTACCCTCAGATGAGCAGTATATGAGAATATAATTTCTTCTCAATCAGTGGTTCTCAACCTGGGACTATTGCCCCTCCAACCAGTGGTTTATTTGGCAAGATCTGGAGACATTATTCATTGTCATAACTGGAATGGGGAGTGGTGATACTGGCATCTAGTGACTACAGGTCAGGCATACTGCTACACTTCAATGCATAGAAAAGTGACAAATAATTATCTGTCCCCAAACGTCAACAGTGCTGAGGTTTAGAAACCCTGCCCTGCTTCCTAACCAAGTTAATATTATCAAACTCAAATTTTTATCCATATGCATATAATGGATTAAAATTAGTATAAGTTTATATATATTTGGACACTAATGAGTGGTGTATTTTTCATATTTCTTTTATCGATTAAATGTATTACCTTTTCTGTTAATTGCCTGTTCATATTTTTTGACTGAATTTGTGTCATTTTCCTGATTCATTTATACAATCTGGATCTTAATCTATGTTCTCTATGTATTTTCTCCAAATGCTTACTTCATTAATTTGTTTATGATTCTTTTTATCCTACAGAAGTTTTTAACTTTAATATATTCAAATTAATCAATATTTTGTTGTACAACTCTTGTGTTTCAAAGCTGAATTTTAAAAAGAACGTCTTTTTTCAAGGCTATAAACATATTCTCATTTTTTCTTCTAATATGATCCAATTTTTACTTTTGTATTTACATCTTTAATTCATTTGTCAGATTTTTGAGGGGTGAATGACTCAAAGTAGAATGAAAGCATTCCGTTTTTTTCTAAATAAATAGCTGTGGCCAAAACGTTTTCTAAACTGGGTAATTTTCCCCATAAAGTTGTCTACAGTCAAGTTTTCATGTTCTCACCTGCAATTTTTTCTTCATTATACTCTAGTCAGTGTTCCATTCTCGCCAAACCACTGAGACAACTCATGTCAAGGTCAACAATGACTTCCATGTTGCCAGAGTGAATGGTCACTTCTCTGTCCTTGTCTCTCTTGACCATCAGCATGTCCCATGCAATGCACCACGGTCTTCTTGAAGAATTCTCTTTCCATGGCTTCCATGGCCCCAAACTCTCTTGGTTTATACCCCATGTCACTGGCCACTCTTTTTTAGTTTCTATTGTTGGCTCTAATTCTTTGCCTTCATTTTGATCTTTGGAGTGCTCCAGGACTCAGTTCAGAGCCCCTTCTAACTATCTATTCACTCTCTCTTTAGATCATCTCATCTAGTTCCATGTCTTCTTATACTATTGATATGCCCAAGACTACCTAATCTACATGTTTATCCCCAACCTCCCCTGGAACTCTAGCATCCTTTTTCTTTCTGCTTGGCCTCTATGTGGATGTCTACTAGGGATCTTAAGTTCTACATGTCTAAATCAGAATTCTTGATCCCCTTTCCTCCAAAAATTGGTTTGCCACCAGGCATTCTTGTCAACTGTTTATCAAACCAAGAATCTAAGATGTATTCTCAATTCCCCACTTTATTGTTCCAAATCCTATTCACCACAGCAGTCCTTTTAACTCTGTCTCAGAAACAGCATTTTCTTCTCTCCATCCCAGCAGCATCCTTCCTAGTCCAAACTATCAGCATCTCTTCACTAGACTTCTGCAGGATTTTCCTAGCAGGCTGCCTTAAAAACCATTCCCCACAGTAATCCTTTTTGAATCTTCATCAGATCACATCACTCCCCTGTCTAAAACCCTGTAGTGACTTCCTACTGACTGCACTTAGGATAAAATTGGAACTCATTAGCGTGGCCTGTAAAGCCAGACCTGGTCTAGCTCCTGCTTCTTCCTCAGCCTCATAATGCACCACTGTCCCCATCATGTGCTGTTCCCACCAGGCTTGCCTTACTTCTGCTCCTTGAATGTAGCAAAGTTATTCTCTCACAGGACTTTTGTACTAAAACCCTGCACTAACTCTGCAGTCACACTCTTCTTTCACTGTTAGCATGGCTGAAGCCAAAAAACACAACTATCTCAGCTTAAATACTATCTCTAGAGAGAGTGATTTCCTGACTATCTGATAAAACACCCAGCTTTCCCTGGGTAGGTCCTCTATTTTAATTCTCTACGGAGTATTAATAACATTTTCTTGATTGCTTTCCATTGGTCTCTTGTATCTGTAACTTCACACCAGAATGTTACTTTCCACAAGAGTACTGATATCCTCCTATCTTGTTCATTATCTTAGTCCATTTGGGCAGCTATAACTGAATGCCATAGGCTGGGTGACTTATAAACGACAGAAATTTATTTCTCACAGTTCTGGAGGCTAGGAAGCTTAAGATACTGAATGCCATAGGCTGGGTGACTTATAAACAACAGAAATTTATTTCCCACAGTTCTGGAGGCTGGGAAGCTTAAGATCAAGGCACTGGTAGATGTGGCATCTGGTGAGGGCCTGCTTCTGGATTTATAGATGACTGTGTCCTTACACAGCAGAAGAGGGAAGGGAACTCATTTTTATAAAGGCACTGATCCCACTCACGACAGCTCCACGCTCATGACCTAGTCACCTCCCCTAGGCCCCATTACCTAATACCATCACATTGGAAGTTAGGATTTCAACAGAGGAATTTGGGAGAACACAAACATTCAGTCTATAGCATCGTATAATAAAGGACCCAGCATATAAGTTCTCAATAAACATATGGGTTTATTTTTTGAAACTCTAATCAATTCTATTGATACATTTGCCTATTTTTTCACAAACGGCACATGCTCAGCTTCAGTAGATATTTTAATATCTAAGAGAGTAAGAACTATTCCCCATTAGATTATTCTTTTACAAAATTGTCTTTTCTAAGGTTGTGAAATACCTATTTTACATGAATTGCAGATTCAAATTATCATGTTTCATATTAAGATCCTTGAAACTTTGATTAGTATTTCTTTGAATTTATAAATTACTTTGAGGGAAATTGACATCTATATAGTACTGAGGTTTCACTCACATTAAAAAATGATGCCTTTTCCATTTATTTAAGGATCATTTTTGTGCCCTTTGATTTAGTTTTACAGTTTCCTTTTTATTGTTTTTGAAGCTCTTTATAGGTGATTTATATGCTTTTTAAAAACTGTTGGGAATGTACGTTTTTCTATTACACTCATTAATTTCCAGCGCATAGGAGAATTCTTTTATCTAGACTTGTTGAGGTATTTTATTTGCTCTAAGAATTTGTAGGGTTTTATTTTATTTTCTAAAGGAGATGATCACATTATTTCACAGAACATATCTTCAACTTTTGAAGATGTCATATTGCATACTGCATTCTTGAGGTTGAGATGTCCAGAAAAATGCCAAGAGGGAGTATTAATGGGGGTATCCCTGTCTTGCTCCATGTATTCATGGAACCATCATTCAATATGATGCTTTCTCTAAATGTTTGGTAAAAATCTTTTATTGAGTGAAAAATTTTCCCTTTATAATCTTGTTATAATTTAACTTCAAAGATAGTGTTTTAAATACTATTTTTAAGAAATCAGCTTTATAATGAGGAAGAACTGAAAAAATGATCACAGGTTTTAGGAAAATTCTGCAGTGTTTTAACAATAATGCCTAATTGTTGAGCTTCCTTTAGGAGGCCAAGTACTTAATATTTTTGATACTTCATTCCTAACCATCAGAGCACTTCTACAAAGTGAAATATTTTTCACCATTTTAAAAGATGAGGAAGTCTTCACTCCGAGACTCAAGTAATTTATCATAGGTCACAATATCTAGCAAGCAATTAAGAAGGGAATTATAGCCACTGTATGTAGCTCCAAAGCCCATACTTCTCCCACATAATCAATTTTTAATTCAGTGAGCTATTAGGCCAAGTCTTTCAACAGGCACTGAAGGAAAAGATAACAAATGTGCCCTGGGTTTATGGAATAATTGATAACTACATCCAAAGTATGTCTATCTTAATGTCAATTCTAAAGGAAATTTCAAAGTAAAAAGTCATACAGACCTGTTTTTGCCTTTAATGGCTTTATCTTTTTAAATGAATGGCTTACATCAAGGAAAAAAAAAAAAGCAAAGACAACCAACTTGAGCAGGTTAGTAAATACAGAACACAAATTCAAAAACAACTGAAGATGGTGCATGCCTATAGTCCCAGCTACTCAGCAGCCTGTGATAGTAGCACCACTTGAGCCCAGGAGTTCAAGGCTGCAGTGAGCTATATGATCTCTCCATTGCACTCCAGCCTGGGTGATAGACTGAGATTCCCATCTCTTAAAAAAATTTTTTTAAAGCAAAACAAAAAACATCTAAAGAGCTAAAATGTTGGGCCAAAAGAAGCAAGAAACATTTCAAATGGTTAGATGTAAAGATTTACCATTAGGTTAAAATACTCAAAGGCATACAAAGAGGATGTGAATAACCATAGTCCCTGTGAAAAAGACCTAGTGGTTTAAACCAAAAGCTAACTTTGCATAACATGGTTGCCAAGTACATTGAATACAATTTCAGTATGCATGAATATCATTGTTATTCACCATAGCAAAAGGTTAATAGTACCACTCTCCATATCTAGAAATACATATTTAGTTGTAGTCATTATATTTAAATTGGTTATAACCCAGTGAAGATGCAGATCACTACTAGGTATTTATCTCATCAGGCTCAGGATGGAGAAAATTTCAGAGGCAACGGGGAACTCCAAGACTTTCCATATTGGTTAGATTACTCCCGGGAAACAGGAAGTCCATAAAACAATGCACGACTCGTGGCCTCCAACTCATCAGAATTGGAACAGTCACCATTAAAAACTCATCCTTACATCTTTTGGGGAACTTAAGAGTTCCTATCCCTACTTACCGCCACTCCTGTCTTATAGAGGAGGTAATGCACTGTCTGTGTAACATCGGCAGCGTGCATTAAGTTATGGTAAGGATTTTTGTGCTTGCTGTATCCCACTTCCAGGGCCTCCACAAATGAGACAAGTGCAGAAATGGGGATCTGAAAGAGAGCAGTAAGGCTAATTAACTAGTGACTTCACTGCTTTCAATGGAGACACAAATGTCTAAGGCACCAGACTGCTTTTTCTCTGAAGGCATAACATATGAGGAAGCTGGAACTTTACACAGTTAATAAAAAGTACTGACAAAATTATCAGATAATTTGAAAATCTAACAGGAAGTCCTTGGTTGAGGAATAGCCTGCCTTGTAAATTTTTCTTTGTTGCTGATTTCAGAATCCCTGAGAAATGACATCTAATCATTTTAAGATACTTAGTTTTATTAACATGTAAAGCAGTAATTTTTAATACACACACAGAAAACTGAGTTGTTGGTGACTATGTTAATTTTCTGTATTTCCTTGTCCTCCTCTACTCTTCCCCTCTAACCCTAAGGGAAAAAAGGATGCTACACAGGACACCAAACAATGTTGTAAACAACACTGAGGAATTCAAAAATAATACTAATAATTAGTACCTGTTTGTGGAATCATTCACTATTTGTAATGTAATATCAGTAGAATGAGATCTTCCAAATTCTAAGTCACCAATAATAAATTGCCAAGTAACAAACATAAGAACGTAGCCTGTTCCTGTTCCCATGTATAACAGACTATCGCATTTTGGTTTTGAGTTTTGCTTTAGCTTGGTTTTGGGTTTTGATTTTGTTTTGTTTTTCTTATGTGTTCAATGTATATAACCATTCCTTGAAAACATTCCAAGGGCATTGTTTTCAGGCAGTTTATATTTGTTTTGCAATAATTTTATAACTTACGATTTTTGTGCACTTTGTTTTCCTACAAATAAATGAGATATGCTGCATAGTATGTATTCATTTATTTCTCAGTGAATAAAATACTTCAGCCTTTATTTGCAACTACCAGTCACTCAGAGTATTTCCAATTAGATTAATTGTTCTTTCATCTGAAATATGTATAATATACATGCCTTCCTTTCTATGTAACATTGCAGTGAAGAACATTGCAAAATGCATGTACAAAATAAGGGCAAAATAAGGGCATCCAGAAAACATTCATTGTATTAGTTTTCTGGATCCACTCCATGGTTCAGGGTAAATTATATAATATAAAGCTAGGGGAAAAGGAGAGGATGTGTCCTCCTGAGGATTAACAATTACATTTGTAAAAAAAATAATAATAAGGAAAATAGTAAGTTAATGCCCCTGAGATTCCATAATCTGTTCTCCCTTGGTCGTATTCTTCCATTTTACCATTTGTGGATTTTTAAAAATTTAAATACGACCTTTAAGAGGTAAGAGATGAATTCGTTATCATTTTTAAAAATAAAAATCCAATGAAACTGGGCTCCTTGGGTTGTTTTATAGAGATCCGAGATTTGCCGAAAGGGCTGTGTGTGTGCGCACAGGAACTTTGTTCCAAGGAAAGTCTCCAGCATCCTCTCCAGCATCCACAAGATTTTCATACAGATTTCCGATGCAAAAAAAAAAATTAAGGACCTAAGGACCATGGCCATGAAGTATTTGTGGTCATGTAAAGACATATTTCCTCAGTGGGAGGGGTTTCAAGATGGCTAACTATAGGCATCTGGCACTCACCTCCTCCACAAAAAAGAACCAAAATAGCAAGTAGATAATCACATTTCAAATAGATTATCCAACACTAGAATTCAATAGAGAAGTAACAGGAAACACCTAAATCAAAGAAGGAGAGGGAATCAAGGCATGGATTGGCTGGAAGCCTGGAGAGGCTGTCTCTTCAGTGAAAAGAAAGGTGAGTGAGTGACTGCTAGCAGTCCACATTCCCTCCTTGGACTCCTGTATCCTAGCCACCAGAAAGAGCCTAAACCCTGGCAGACCCTGAGACTAAGATAGAGAGCTGCCTAGAGATCGCATGAAGACATTACTCCATACAGGGAGCTCATGCTGGGTCCCACACATCCCCTAACCCCTAACCAGCTACAGCAAGGCACCATATTGAGAGCCCAGCCCCCACCAGACTGCACATTACCTGGGGGCTCATGAGTCCTTGTATCTCCATATCTCAGGAGCCCCACTGACATTCTCTGCCTGCAGCCACCACTGTGGCTGGCTGTTGCCTCCAGGGTTGAAGTATGAACCATCAGCAAAGACTGCATGTCCCCCAGGAACAAACCCACCATGCATGTTCATGTACCGTAAGGACAAAACCCCCCACCTGCAACAGCTTCCATGAAGGGCTGCTGCAGCCATGACCAAAGCACAAATGAAGTGCATGCTCCCAGCCACCTGTATACAGCTGCTGCCACTGAAAGCAACCACATACTCCACGGTAGCAGGGCTGCAGATCCAGCAGGCCCAGCTCCACACCTTCCAGTGCCTCAACACACCATCTGGGGGCCTGAGGACTGCCCACTCCAGTCTACCACTATTGGGAATTGAGTACTCCTCTCAAGCACCTGAGGTCAGGCCCACTCAAAGTGATGCTCCCATCACAGCTGGGATCCACCTGCACATGCTACCTGTGAGCCTGGAGACTGACCCACCCAGCCTGTCGTAGCCACCTCTATGATGCTTGGAACCAAGGGGTTAGTCTCACTACTGCTACTTCCAATGCTCATGCCTACTGTTCAGGGTACTGAGAAGCCCCAATCCACTTGGCCCACTGCTGCCACTACTGGCTCCTGAGCAAGCCACCTGGAAGCCCAAGAATCAGGCCTCTTAGACTTGCTAACACCAGTGCAAGTGTAGAAATCCCTGGGGCCCAAGGCATGGGACAGGCATGCTTGGCCCACCACTGCCACTAATGGGGCCCAAGGTCAGGCCCAACTTGCATCCCATCTCCAGTGAAACTTCACCAGAGCCTCCACTAACAATTATACTCTAAGCTACTGAAAAAATCATGTACACCGCTGACAAGGTTTGTAGCCAAAGGAATCATACAAAGACTCTACTACTACACACACCCAGAATCAAAGCCAAAGTTCTCTGCTCAACCAACATCATAGATACGTCTTCAGGAAAAAGTCTTCCCATGGGAAAGCAAATGTTAAAAATGGAAAGAAGTGACTGTCAAACAAGATGCACAGATATTGACATAAGGACACAAGAAACATTTATAAAGCAAGGAAATATGACACTTCCAAAGGATCATACTAATTACCCAGCAAGAGATCCCAATCAAAATGAAATTTGTGAAGTCTTGGATAAATAATTCAAATTATCGATTCTAAAGAAGCTCAGTGATGTACAAGAGAATACATAAAAGTAATACAAAGAAATCAAGAAAACAATTCAGGATACTAATGATAAATTTACCAAGGAGATAGCTATCATACAAATTACCAAAGAGAAATTATGGAATGGAAGAATTCATTTAATGAAATACAAAATACATTTGAAACTTTCAACAGTAGACTAGACCAAGCAAGAAGAAAAAAGTTCAGAACTAGAAAACAGGTCTTCACAAAAAATGCATCTGGCAAAAATAAAGAAAAAAGAATATACAAAGCATACGTGGCAAATGGGACACCATTAAACAACAAAATATTTGCATTTTCAGTGTACCCAAAACCAAAGAGGAAACAAAAGAGTTAGAAAACCTATTTAACAAAATGCTAGTGGAAAAATTCCCAAATGTAGCAAGAGACTTAGTCACCAGACACAGGAATCTCAAAGATTCCCAAACAGATACAATTCAAAAAGATCTCCACAGCACATAAGAGTCAAACTGTCAAAAGCAAAGCCAAAAAATTCTTAAAATAGCAAGAGAAAAACATGTAGTCACTTATAAGGAAACCTTCATCAGATGAGATATCTTCTGTTATCTCATTAGAAACCCTACAGGCTAAAAGATAATGGGATAATAGATTCAAAGTCCTAAAAGAAAAAAAAATGCCAATAAAGTATGCTGTATTCAGCAAAGGTATTCTTCATTAATGAAGGAGAAATAAAGCCTTTCCCACACAAGCAAATGCAGAAGGAATTCCTCATCACTCGACCAGACCTACAGTGAATGCTTAAGGGAGTCTTACACCTGGAAACAAAGAAACAATATCTACCATCATGAAAATGCAAAAGGAAAAAACTCACTGGTAAAGCAAATACACAAATGAGGAAGAGAAAAGACCCAAATGTTACCACTACAGAAAACCATCAAACCACAATTATAAATAATAAGAAAGTAAGAAAGGACATACAACACAATCTGAAATTAATTAATAAAATGACTAGAATAAGTCCTCGCATATCAATAGCAACCTTGGATGTATATCGATTAAAATTCCCACTTAAAAGATAGACTGACTAAATGGATTAAAAAAAAATCCATGATCCAACTATATGTCGCCTATAAGAAACTCTTTTCACCTGTAAAGACACATGTAGACTGAAAAGAAAAAGACGTAAAAAATATTCCATGCAAATGGAAATCAAAAGCAAGCAGGAGTAGCTATACTTATACCAGATAAAACAGACTTTAAGTCAAAAGTGTTAAAAAGAGACAAAGTCATGGTATAATGAAAAAAGAATCAATTCAGCAAGAGGATATAACATTTCTAAACATATACACACCCAACAGTGAAGCACCCAAATGTATAAAGCAAATATTACTAGACCTAAAGAAGAGATAGACTCTAATACAATAAGTTTAAGACTTCAGCACTCTATCATAGCATCAAACAGAACATCTATACAGAAAATTAACAAAGTTGGATTTAAACTTCACATTAGACTAAATGGACCTAATAGACACTTACAGAATATTTTACCCAACAGCTACAAAACACAAATTTTTCTCATCAACACAGAGAACATTCTCCAGCCTAGACAATATGTTAGGACACAAAATAAGTCTCAAAAAATTAAAAATCAAAATAATATCAAGTGTCTTCTCAGATCACAGTAAAATAAAACTAGAAATCAATAACAAGAGGAAATTTGGAAACTACAAATACATGGAAATTAAACAACATGGTCCTGACTTACCATTGGATTAAGAAGAAATTAAGGAGGAAATAAAAACATTTTTAAAGCGAATGAATATCTAAACACAACATACCAAAAGCTATGAAATACAGCAAAAGCAGTCCTAAGAGGGAATTTTAACAATAAATGTGTACATTCAGAAAGTAGAAAAATTCCAAATAAACAATCTAACACTGCACCTCAATGAAAAAGAAAGCAATATCAAAGCAAACTCAAATTAGTAAGAAAAGGAAATAACGAAGATCAGACAGAGTTAAATGAAATAGAGAGTAACAAAACAATGCAATGGAGCAATGAAATGAGAAAAGTTGATTTTTTTGAAAACACAAACAAAATAAATAAACTGCCAGCTAGACTAACAAAGAAAAAAAAGAGAAGATCCAAATAAACAACATCAGAAGTGAAAAAGGGAGATATTACAACTGATACCACAGAAATACAAAGGTCATCAGAGACTATTACGAACAACTGTGTACTAACAAACTGGAAAACTTAGAGGAAATGGATAAGTTCCTGAACACATACAACTTACCAAAACTGAATCATGAAGAAATAGAAAACCTGGACAGACCTATAATGAGTAATGAGTTTGAATCAGTAATACAAATTCTCCTGAAAAAGAAAAGTCTAGAACCAGATGGCTTCACTATCAAATTCCACCAAACTTTCAAAGAAGAAGTAACATCAATTCTCCTCTAAATCTTCCAAAAAATTGAGGGGCAATTTCTCCTTCTCCCTAATTAATTCTACAATGCCAGCATTTCCCTGATACCAAAACCAGACAAGGATGCAATAACAATAAAACAAAACTACAGACCACTATCCTTGATGAACATAGATGAAAAATCCTCAACAAAATACTAGTAAACTGAATCCGCAGCACATCAAAAAGATTATACACCACGATTGAGTATGATTTATTCCAAGGATACAAGGATAGTTCAACATATGCAAATCAATAAACATGATACACCACATATCAAGAGAATGAAATACAAAAACCATATGATAATCTCAATAGATGCAGAAAAACATTCAATAAAATTCAATATCCCTTCATGATAAAAACTCTCAACAAATTAGGAATTGAAAGAACATATATCAATATAATAAAGATCATATATAAAAACACACAGTTAACTTCATACTGAATGGGAAAATTTTGAAAGGCTTTCCTCTAAGAACTGGAACAGTATAAATATCTCCACTTTTACCACCCCATTCAACATAGTACTTGAAGTCTTAACCAGAGCAATCAGGCAAAGGAAAGATATGAAGGACATCCAAATTGGAAAAGATAAAGCCAAATTTTCTCTCTCTGCAGGTGATATAATCTTATATCTAGAAAAACCTAAAGACTGCGCAAAAAAAGTCTTAGATCTGATTAATTCAGTAAAGTTGCAGGATACAAAATCAACATACAAAAATCAGTACCAGCTGGGCATAGTGGCTCACACCTGTAATCCTAGCATTTTGGGAGGCTGACTTCTTGAGGCCAGCAGTTCAAGATCAGCCCGGGCAACATAGTGCAATCCTATCTCTATATTTAAAAAAATAAAATAAAAGTTTCAAAAGTCAGTAGTGTTTCCATACGTGAACAATGCACTAGCCAAAAAATGAAATCAAGAAAGCAATATCATTTACAATAGCTACCAAAAAAAAAAATACCTAGGAATAAATTTACCCAAGGAGGCACAAGAACTCTCTAGGGAAAACTACAAACAATGATGAAAGAAACTGAAGAGGACACAAATAAATGGAAAGACATCCCATGATCATAGATCTTAATATTGTTAAAATGACCAAGTTGCCCAAAGTAATTTACATATTTAAGGCAATCCCTAACAAAATACCAATGTCATTTTTCACAGAAATAGAAAAAATATATAGGGAGCCCCTGAAGAGCCCAAATAGCCAAAGCAATCCTGAGCAAAAAGAAAATGATGGAGGCATCACTCTACATAAATTCAAAATACATTACAAGGCTATAGTAACCAAAACAGCATGGTATTAGTATAAAAACAGACACAAAGTCCAATAGAATAGAATAAGAAACCCATAAATAAATCCACATATTTGCAGCTAACTGATTTTTGACAAAGGCAATGAAAACTTACAGAAAGGACACCTTCTTCAAGAAATAAACTCTGGGAAAATTGAATATCCATATATAGAGGAATAAAACTAGACACCCATCTCTCATCATATACAAAAATAAACTCAAAATGTATTAAGCACTTTAACATAATACTCAAAACTATAAAACTACAAAAGGAAAAAAACACCTCAGGAAATTGGTCTAGGCAAAGATTTTATGGCTAAGACCTCAAAAACACAGGCAATAAAAACAAAAATAGACAAATGGGACTATATTAAACTAAAAATCTTCTGCACAGTAAAGGAAACAATCAACAGAGTGAAGAGACAACCTGTTAAATAGGAGAAGTATTTGCAAAATATTCATCTGACAAAGGACTAATACCCAAAATGTACAGGAAACTCAAACAACTTGATAAAAATAACAAGTAATCCCATTAAAATGTGGGCAAAGATATATAGACATTTCTCAAATGAAGACATATAATGGACAATGGGTACATGAAAAAAATGTTCGTCATCACTAATCATAAGGGAAATGAAAATCAAAAGCACAATGTTGATATTATCTTACCCCAGTAAGAATGGCTATTATGTTTAAAAAAAAAAAAAAAAAGATGCTGGTGAGGATGTAGAGAAAAGGGAACACTTCTACAATGTTGGTGGCAATGTAAACTAGTACAGTCACTATGGAAAACTGTGTGGGGGTTTCTCAAAAAAAGAAAAGAAAAGAAAAAAAAGAAATCAGTGTATCAAAGGGATATCGGCACCCTCGTGTTTATTGCAGTACTATTCACAATAGCTAAGATATAGAATCAAGCTAAGTGTCCATTAGTGGATGAATGGATAAAGAAAACCTGGTATACATACATAATGGAATACTATTCAGCCATAAAAAGAATGAAATCATGTCATTTGCAGCAACATAGATAGAATTGGAAGTTATTACATTAAGTGAAATAATCCAAGCATGGAAAGACAAATAGCACATATTCTCATTCACATGTGGGAGCTAAAAAAAAGTTGACCTTATGCAGTTAGAGAGCAGAATGATAGATACTGGAGGCTGGGATGTGTGTGGGGGCATAGGGGGTTGGTGATAAAGAGGAGTTGGTTAATGGGTACCAACATACAGTTAGATAGAAGGATTAAAGTCAAATGTTCAGTATCAGAGTAGGGTGACTACAGTTAACAAGAATGTATTGTGCATTTCAAAATAGCTAGAAGAGAGGACTTGAAAGGTTCCCAACACATAGAAATGATAAATAATGCAGGTAATGGACACCCCAAAAACTCTGACTTGATAATTACATAGTCTATGCATGTAACAAAATATCACATGTACCCTATAAATATATACAATATTTGTACCAATAAAAAAAATAGATACCTCTCCAAATACATAGTCCCCAGGAGAATATAAAGAACCACAACTCCGGAGAAATCAATATGCTGTAGAGAAAAAGACTTGTGTTTTCCAGAGCCTCATCCCTTTGATGAGGGAAGTCAGAGGAGCTCGATACTATAGATGTTGGCAGATGAATACATCAACTCCCTGAGGATCTGACCCTACCTCGAGAGTCTACAATATTAGAAGGCTGTAGGGAGTTGAACACTGGAAACAATTCACGTTCTTTATGTAAAGTTGAAGAATTAATTTGAAGCATGAATGGCTGGGAAATACCAATGATCTGTCACAGATGATGAGTGATAGTATTTGTCTGAATGAGCCAAGTGGCGGGAAAAAAAAGGTTTACAGAGACAGCAGATGCTCACTCTGTCTCCATTACTGCCCCTCTGACAGCATTGGCCAATAGGATACAAAGTCATGTGGAAATGAGACCTATGGGCAGAGCCTGATGGGGAGCTTGGTTATTACAGGCTCTGGGTTGTACTTCCAGGAAGACCAGAATCTAAATGGGTCTCTCCAGTCTCTCCCATGCCACTGAGACCCACCAGCAAGAGCGCAATCAAAAGCACCCTCCACAGAGGAATTCACAGCAGTGGCTATCCGAAGGGTGCTTCCTGAGTCGCCTGGAGCAGTTTTCATTCTGCCTATTAAAAGAGACTAAACCCAAAAGTCATATGAGGATAAACATATGCACGTAGTTCATTTATTTTTCTTTTTAAAGAGGTACTGACCTTGAAACGGCTGATCAGATCATAGCGTGTGAGTAGTTCATAGAAAATAAATTTCAGTGCATGATCTCCACTGGCCTCATTCAGGGAAAAGACATCAAAGGACCACTTGTCCACATCCTGCAGGACAGGTGGGGAGAAAGAATACATAAGCCCACCGTCACTTACACACCAATCAATCTCCCCACTTTCAAGTCTGTCTGCAGCCCTCACTGGAGATTTCACAGTGTGACACTAACAGCCTTTCCACTCTCAAACTTTTTCCAATCTGGCTAGTCTACATAGTATTTACTGTTTAAAAAAAAATCAAATAGTCTTATTACTAATAAAAATAGCCATTTCTTGAGTACCTGCCGTATGATAGGCATTATGGTTGGTGATAAATATGTAATTTATCCTGAAAACAACTCTAAGTGATAGATATTAGTCACATTTTATGGATAAGAAAATTGATAAATTACCTAATTTCCCTAACACCCAAGGTGAGTAAGTGCTGGGGATACAGGCAAGGCCAGAACACAAACATAGGTTGCATGCCTGAGATCAGTCGCTTTGCATTAAGCCCTGCAGCTGCTACTGTTTAATTCACCACAGGCTACGGTGCTCCTCTTCTCTGAACTTCTCTCCAATCCCTTGACACTATCCAATGACTTCCTCTAAGTTTACAGTAAAGAATATTAACTCATTTAGAAGTGTTCAGAAACATGTGTGATACAGAACACAAAATAATATGCCACATCAATCTAAACTGCTGAGCTGAAACCAAAAAGAAAGCATTCATTTCACAGGAGAGAAAAATGCTACCATTTCTGGAGTCGCTAGTCTGGGATCTTGTCCTCAAATCTGTAAGTGACTTTACTGAAAAAAAGTAAAAGGAAAAACTAAACTGAACTCACACCTTACATATTATCCCTGAAGTTCGAAGTCTTTGCCTATAAATAGCTACTCCAAAATGTATGTAAATACAGTCTGATGTGCTTTGGTTTATCCTAACCAACTTCTTGTGGATGTAGTAAACAAAGATTTGTTTAAGCAATGGTTAAAGCAACAGTCATTTGGTTTTTCATGGCACCAAAATCTCACTTCCTGTAGTTAAGTGAAGCATATTGACTTGAGCTTGACAGCAAGGATTCATATGAGACCACACTGCCTACAGGCAAGGTGTCAGATGGTACACTGGTAGAGACCTTGGTTCTCATGAGTGACTCTCACCCCAGCCCTCACTGAATTCCAACATAATCTATCCATCCCAGTTTTGTTCCTGACTAAACATTCCAACTGTCAAATTCATCCCAAAGCCATTAAGGGTCTCCCTCCTAGATGCTAAAAAACAGTTTTCAGGGAAAACAGAATTGTATGTAGGAAAATCAAACTTTTCCAGAGGGGTTTCAATTGAATTATTCCAATTGACACTTAGTGGTAACCTCACTTAAGTCTTCAATAACTGCCCCTCCATTAAAATAACCAAAGAAATAGCGACAGGTACATTTCTGTGAGCACCTTTTCTGTGCTACCTTATGGCGCTAGACATTTCAATTAATCTCAGAGATTAACTGACATGTCTAGCGCCATAAGGTAGTAGAGCCAGGTAATAACCTCACTAACAACGCTTAGTGATCTCACTGCCAACAGATGAAATTGTAAATGCCATGAATATGTGCTGTGACCCAGGCCTTATCCCTTTAATATCCCACTAGGGCCCAGGCTATAGACAGCAAGGACACTTACGATTAACCCAAGACCTAAAGCTTTACCTCGGTTACTATCATTGGCACTGTCATGAGTCACATATATTGTCTTATCTTTAGTACTAAGGAAAAAGTCACTGACAACTCAGTAGGTTGGAAAATGCTGTGTCACTTCTGACAATTTTTAATCCTAGTGTCCAGAAACGAAAGGGCTCTCTATCACTAGAAATAAAGAGATTATCATGATAAAAAGCCGAAATTTATTCTGAATATCAGGACTTAGAGAACAAAGAGGATGAGCAAATAGAGACAGTGAGATGGATGTCCTCTTTGGTCCCTCATGTTAGGGAAGGCTTAGCTGTAATTCTCAGTTTAATGTTCTTCAGAACCAGTTGAGGGGCTCAGCAAAAATATGGATCCTCCAGTGGGGACTCCAGAGAATCCTGGTGTGGGGCCTGGAATCCGCATTTTTAACAAGTACCCAGTTTAACTGCCTTCAACCATTCTTCCTCATTCACCAAATTTTGCCCAAGGACACTTCCTACAGAGAAATTGCAGGAACTTCCTGTTAGTCTAACACAAAGGAAGCCTGAACCTCCTCATCTCCTCCCACTTTAAACCTGGAGTCTTTCCAAGGTGTCACTTCCTGAGTCACAAAACAGATGCCCTTCCAAAGAAGAGCACACAGCTACATTTCCATTAAGCTAATCTCAGAAGACTAGAGGTAGAACACCTCAAGTTAGAAGCTTACATCTATACATGTATATATAATGGAAAAAGTAAAAAGAACATAATGCAGTATGTTTCAAATTTAGAGACTGGTTCATTATTCTCTTATGTAAATATAATTTTATGTCATGTTCTTACATTAACCACAAAGCTTAACATGACAATAGCATAAGAGTTATTTTAGGGAATTGTATTCTCTCAGTCTTTAGGGAAAATTTCTGTAATAAAAGAAAACAGTAGTGATTCCATATGAACTTCTGGCAATGAAGTGGAAATAATCTTTTTTGTAACATGTAGTACATAAAGAAAGAAACAAAAGAGTCTATATCTGTGATCGCTTCAACTCTTTGCAAATAAAATTAGCATCTGGAGAAGTGGAAAAATATTACATTGCAAAAAGCTTTGAACTTCCCCAGTAAACGAGGCACACAGCCAAGAGAAATAGAAGCTTCAGCTTTAATGCACATACCAACAATATATGTGAGGAGAAGTAGCAATTTATTTAGAGAGCTAGTAGGTCTTCCTTATCTGAATAATCTAAGTACCCGTCCCCTCAGACAACATGTGTGCATCTGAGAATTTCTTTTTGTGAAGTATAAAATAACAATTCATGCACATCAAGTTTGTTCCAGTTCTTTTTCAGTTATTCTACATAGAAAAGAGGCTTCAATTTAGAAGCAACATTCTCATAAATGTCTTGGTACTAGTATACCCTTTTGTATTTATGTTCCTGATAAAGGAAAAAATTAAAGACAAAATATGCTTTTAATGTTTCTAAGACTTTGATTGAACGTTCAGGTTCAATTATGAAAATCAGTGCAACTTCATAGTGGATATTAAGAATTATCAGATTTCCTGAAGTGATTTCACTGGTTAAAATGTACATTACACTCATGTATTGGGCATCAGATTAGGGGTTAAAGAGGAATGGGAGAAAAGACATGTCTTCTTGCTGGGTCCTTCCTGAGTATCCTTCCTGCTTTTAAGATTACGTAAGAGACGGAAAGGGTAGAGACAAACAAGGATAAATGAGAATCTGTGTACATATGGTCTCTAAAATTCAGCTAGTAAATGTCTCTGAGACAAGAGAAAGGCCTATGAATATATAATCAAGATGGTCCCAAGGGGCTCTTTCCTGACATTAAATTAATCAAGAAGCACTCCCCACCCCCTAACTCCATGAATACGTAATTTAGCTTCTGAAAATATCATCACATTTTTCAGGTTTTGGAGAAACAAAACAATGACTTTAGCAAAGGTCAAAACGCTACAATGTCCCTAAGCACATGGCCCAAGTCCATGCATAGACAACATGTGATGTCAACGAACTCAGTGATCCTGGGCTACAGGATCAGCAACACATTGGAATCCAGAAGCCAAATCAAGTTTAGCAAATCTCAAATACGCTCAGACCAATGGATCTTCATCAATATCTGCCTTCAGGAATGCATCTGCTTTGGGGCTCCTAGAGATACCCTATACAATTCCAAGAACTTGCCTGATTAGAGGTAATTCTGCAGGATTTAGCCCATTTAAACTCAAACATTTGTATGACTTCCAAGGGAACATCTGGCTCAATGAGAGTCTTTGGAAAACAATGGGATATACAGATGGGATGAGGACTCTCGAGCTATATGTTCATGCAGTAAAACATTACTAAGAGCTTACCATGTACCGAAAACTCTGATATCAAACATTAGCTCTGTCTCTAATTAACTCTTTTTTTTAAATCTTGCTGAGTCTTGGTTTCTTCATCTATAAAATGGACTTGGAGTAGGTAATCAGATAATGGGGCAATTACAAATACTGAAGATCCTCCTAATGTTGAATACTTATAGCCATAACATACTGGATCTCATATGGCAAAATCAGATAAATCTCATAATGACAGATCACTGCATAAAACCTAAACTACTCTAGAGTACTAGAAAGAAATGAAACCCACACAGAGTTTGATTATTTTTAAATTGGGAAGATGAAGGGTGAAAAGACAGTAATATTGTTAGAACACATAACAAAAAGATAATGAAAGAATAAAGTCAGGAATAAATGGAAAAGTAACTGTAAATGAAAGCCTCTTATTTTCTAGCAATTTAACTCTACTTTTCATTAGGTACTATGTACATTGTAAAATCTTTTCACTTGTATTACCTTTAATGCCTCAATAACAGCTGGTGGATAGCTCAGTCCAACCATGTTTGATGTCCGCCTATACATTCTGAAAAGTCAAAAGGGAAAAATGCAACATGATATCTTACAAAGTAGGATTTGTAATCCATAAACTCATACCAAGTATTGACAAATAATGAGAAGTCTAGTGGGGTGATCCAAAGAACCTAAAATTCATTTTTTGACCTTTTTTATATTCACTCAGGTGGTCTAAGTGTTAAATTCAAAAGAAATTAAAGCAATCCCAAACATAAGAACCACTGGGAGGAAAAATACCTAACTCTATAGGCTCCAGACTGAAAATTAAATTATTAAATGGGTCACTTCTTTGGCCAGAGTGAATTATAGTACAGAATAGACAGTAAGCGCTGTAGTAATTTAACCTGAATGAAGAACTCCTATGGGTAACCCACTTAGAATAGCTTGTTCTTTAGAACTGCCAAAAACAAGAAGGGAAAATGTCCCAGGTAATCTTTAAACTCACCATGGTATTTCTAAAATGTGTAATTACACGATAAGGATTATAGGAAGAATATATCTATTTCTGGAATTTATTGCTGGGTAAGGGGGTCAATTTGATTTCAAAGAGTAAAACAGATAATAAAATTGAGTGTCATGGGGGCTTCAAACCACTGAAATGAACTGTCCTCCCTGGATCCAGCAACCTCAAAGCATCCCAGATCTGTTCCAAATGGAGACACCATCCACCTATTTCAAAAGATGATAGATGAGATGATTTCCTGCTTTAAAAATTAGAGACTGAACTGAAACTAAATCTTCTCTGGTAAACAAAAAACTTCCAAGCAAAAGCAAAAAGCTTTTCCTAATGATGCTACAGAGATTAAAATAGACATGTTTTTGCCATTTCTCATTCAAGACTATCTGTTTCTACCCACAATTTTCAGTATTTATAAAGATAGGAAAACTACATTAAAGCAAAGCTTCCAGCTATTGGAAACGTGTTCCTCTGGCTGCTTTGGTCACTGAATGACAATGAATGACATCTTTACCTCTCCACAAATATCCCAGCCTGCACCGCGTGAACGATGCTCTTGAAGCGGGGTTTCTCCTCGCTCCTCCTGAGCATCATCCCCATCTGCCGTGTGAAGGTGGAGGCCAGCCAGTCTCGGACCTCAGAAGGCACAGCATCTGACTGAATGTCACTGAGCTCATCCTCTGTATCCAGGAGTCTCCTGAACACAAGAAAGAGAACCAGGACACTGAGATTAAATCTGAAGTTGGAGCTCTCTGTTCAAAACAGCTGCTCCTCTCTGCCTCACCTGCATGCAGGTGCAAAGAAACCAAATTAAACTGGCCACAAAAAATACAGTGCCTTTTTGGGAAGGCTTATGTAAGCTCGCCATATGTGTTTCAGGATGGTCTTGGCCTCCACTGATATTTCAGGATGATTCTCTTTACCAGACTGGACAAACGAACTGGTCCATTGTACCCAGAAGCACTCTGTGGCATTTGAGTGAAATTTAAACCTTCTATTTAAAAATACATTCACAGGCAGCCTTTTATTAGTTCATAGATGGACCATGTGGCACTATTTTGTTTTATTAAAAAATGGACACTTAGAGACTTTGCAAAGTATTTACCAAATCACAGCAACCCAGTCCTCTGAAGAAGTGATCCTAAGTGATGACAATTAATATTCTTTCTAGTTTGATAGGTTGCTACCAAAATTTAAATGTCTAAATTCAAGCAAAATTTTCAAAATAATGCAGTTCTTTATTTTTGCACAATGACTGAATCATGTCACAGCTGTGTTTCGCTGATTTTTCAAACTTGTACATAGGTCAGACCACTAGAACGGAACACAAAGAGCAATGTTAAAATAAAACCTAAAATAGTATTGCATATTTATAGTAAACCCAACTACAAATTAGCAGTAAAAGTTGCTGCCAGCGTAAAGGTGTTTGATTTTTTTTTTTCCTTTAGACTTACCAATTGGGGTGGGGGTAAGCGGAGGAAATACAACATTTGGAAAAAAGCTGTGATATCGAATTTCCTTAAATTAGAAACCAAGTGTGTCACCAAAATAATAATAATAATGATAGAAACCATACAAATCTTAGATTGCTGTGAAATACTTTCAGATTGGAATTTGGCAAAGAAAAGTAAGACATCACAAATACTGACAGAGAAGCCTGTCTGAATTAGAAAAAAAAAAAAAAACCACCTTTCATATTCAACATTGCAACATTTTTCAAAAGAAAAGCAATTTTGTAACTTGCAAACATATGTAGTAACTGAAATCGCTTTAATACATTTAGATAATTCAAGTGCGATAAGCCTGCTAAGTAAATCAGCTACACACATAAGACTGAAGAGGGAATGCTGGGTACATAAGAGAACACATGCTTCTCGATCACTTCAGGAGCCTCCATTTACTAGTGGACATTATGAATTAAAACATAAACACAATTTTTAGACTGACACTAACAACATGCAATAATTACAATGGAGCTCCACATCTGATTTTTAAAATCTTAGCAGATTTTTAAAAATTAGTTTTTCTCCTCTTTCATGATCTCACTTCCTTGTCATGACAGTCATATGAGATATGTTCTATTAGCTCCTTTTATAGATAAGGAAGTACAGAGAGTAAGTGACTTGTCCAAATCTATCCCCTTTGTTTGTGGAAACTAAAACTCCAAGATGAGTAATTTGAATGTCACCCCATTCCTGGCATGGGGGACAATGTCAGAAAAGCCATGTAAGAGAAAATTTACCATCACTATACTAATCTCTTTTGTCATTTTTAGCTTACCTTGTTTCATCAATATACACAGATTCAAGCACTGTGGCTGCATATTCCAAATTCTTCTTAAGATCTACCACTGAAGCTTCCCCTCTCTCTAATTGTTTGACCAAAGACCGTAATCTAGAAAAATAAAAAGATACAATTTCATTAGAATAGAGGAAACAAAGAATAATCCTATAACTATGGTGATATATTTTACAGTTATCGAATATTCTCATTCTGATACATCTGAAAGGAAAATAATTATGGGACCAAATGAGCAAGTAATAAAATAAATGTATACATTTTTGCCATTGTGAAGTAAGAAGAAAAAATCTCTCTCCAACCAGGCACTGACTATACTTTCTAGCTAGCTTTTATCTTTATGAGTCCTAAATTATCAATGATTTTGTTTTTTCTCAAATTTTCATCTTTTTTGTTCTATGTGGACGTAGTAAAGCCTGACCAGCAGCAAAATCACCAAATACCTCTCGAGATTCTGCTCTGCTGAAGGCACTTGGTTCAGCAGTGGCCCCAGATAATAGCAGCCCCATGACCCAGGCATGTCCCAAGACAGATGAAAAGATTTAAACCACTGAGAACCACAAAAAGGCTACATAAGGAATAGATGAAAGCAAATTGTTTTACTGGATGGAAAAAATCACTCTGGGAGGAGATAAATACCCTAATTTTTTAAAAAAAGGAAATATGAGGATGGATTTTAAACCGAGGAACTCCAGACTACACAAGAGAAGCAATAAAACATGTTTTTCTGTTATTTATATGAACATTATCTGCACAGAGAAGGACTTAGTATTCATAAGAACAATAAAATGACTACAGATGATCAACATGCAGTAACTGAGAATACTGTAAATACCACAGAGATTTGGAGATTGGGCAACTCTTCAGGCTGTTTGACAACCAGCAATGAAAATAGTAGAGACTTTGAAGACAAACTGGGGTTTGAAATTCACTTCATAACTTATTAGCTGTGCAACCCTAGGTAAGTTATGTAACATCTTTGAGTGTTATCTTAATGAAGAGCAAAGTACAAAATTTCTAAAGTTGACCTAAAGATTAAATGAAATTGATATACAGTATGTGACTCATGGTTGTCCTTTGAAAAGGCAATTGTTACAACTACTGTCATTATTCAATGACTTTGATCACTACAGATAACCAAATGAGAAAAATTCTAGCAAGATGTTTAAAATTATTGTCAAATCTCCATTTCCCATTGGTATATGCAATCTGTTCTCACCTTCCTGATATCAAAATATCCTCAGATAGGTTGTCTTCACGGCAAGGTATAAACTACTCCCTTCCTAATCTTCATGAAAATGACCCACAGTAAAGAATGAGAAAAAATCTTGGATCAACCTTAAAAAGTAGGCAAGGGGGTCAACCTTAAAAAAAAATGTCCAGGAAGTTCAATGATATAAAATACAAATAAGATTAGATTCAGGTTGTCTCTACCTGAATTATGAATCTCCAATATATCAAAGGGAAATATGCAAAGGAAATCCCCCGAGCCCCTGCAGGCTTGAAGGGGAAGGTCAGCCTTGGGAATGCCATTAGCAGCACTGGAAAGAGTTCCGAATTTCAGAGGCAGCACGGGACAAGGAGTTGGCAGGGAAGGGCTTGCCAGTCACTCACACAGAAGGGATAAGCAGCCTGCCAAAGAATGGGGAGACGGCAGCAGGGAGCCCTGACTGCTGTTCCAAATAAGGATTGGAAGCTCTTTAGCAAAACACATTCCTGGCTAAGTCTGCCTCCAGTTCTGACTCTCACCTCAAGGTGCCCAGCTACCCCCTAGGCTGTTTGGACTTTCAAACGACAAAATGAGAGTAAAATTCAACTTTTTAAAGTTTACTCTCAAAAATGAGAGTAAAATTAAACTTCTTAAAAATGCCTCTCTTCATTTGGGATTTACAGGTTCTACCAGGAACTGACATGAATTTCTAGTAGAACCCATCTCAACTCTAGAACCTAAGAGGAAACGACAAAAACAAAGAAAATGATGAGAAAGATTATAAGAGTAATAGAAGTAAAAGCCAGAAGACCCTATCTACCCATAATAGAACTTTCACAGGAAATAAACAACAGAAGCAGCTTTTAAACTGAATAAGTTTTCCTAGGCTAAAGTAAAATCTGTATAAGCAGATGAAAAGGGATCAAATACAATTTTTTAAAAGTAAATGAAAACATCAAATGTATGCTACTGTAATTTTTAATTTCAAAGAATAAAGAAATGAACCTGAAAATCTTTGAGAAAATTAAACATAATACTTACAAAGTAACAAAAAATTGTCCTGGCCATCTACTTCTATCGTGTCAAACATCAAAAAGCAATTTAATAACAGTACCAATTTTTGAGAATAATATGGGAAAATTCAAGACATTTATATCTATATCTACAGAGTTACCAAGTACATAAGAGGCCAACAAAGGTATTCTCAGTTGTCAACAACTTCAAAATTTATCATTCATACCCTTTCCAGAAAACAAAAAAATCTTTAAGGCATACTCTAGGACAGTGGTCTTCCAAGGGAGTGGATTCGTGAGTCTCCAGTTAAATGGATTGTTGATTCATGACCTAGATTTAACTAACTCAAACTTTACCAAATGGACAAGTAATTTAAAAAGATTCTGGCAAGAAGAGGAAGATAAAATAAAATGCTAATAATACAAGGACAACTAAACGTGAAAATGAGCTGACACGTCTCCTTTTACTAGGACAATCTCCTATTTCTCATACAAACACTTCTTCTCCCACTTTTACAAACTAAAAGCTAATTCTCATCAGTTGAAAAATAATTGGAATTATTAAGGACATTATATGGACTACGGATGTATAGCCACTACTTTATAACAATTCCCACTCCTGAGAAAGCACAGTATTGAGAGAATCAAGTCATGAAGGGCCTCATATCACCTTGTGATCAACGGGCTGGGACCCCAGGCCAGGGCAGGAGTGGGGCCTTCAGGGAAAGCTTCACTCAGAATCTCACTTAGCTGTTCCAATGAGTAGCACTGAAATCAGCTCCACTAGAGAGACCCAGGCTTTGTGCCACAATTAGCAGAAAATCAGCCATTCAGAGGCTTCTCCCTGATGTAGTCACCAGTGGTGCCAGGCAGACTTTAGGCAGTCATATTTATGCATTCAGTGTGAAGTTCTGACCCAACAGGAAGCTGTAAATAGAAAGCAAAACCCTAGCCAAGTGGTTTCAACAGATCCAGAGAGGAAATGACACAGAAATAATGCACCTTTTGGATGCGTGGGGGACACTAGAAATTTACATGTAACCCCGTCTTTCCAGCTTATGAGACGAGCAGAAGATTCAATCAACTTCCTGGCAGACAGTGAGGGAACCTAGAACACAACCCGTCACTCTGTTTATGGAAGAACACCCAGCTGACATTCACCTTTCCTTACTCAAGGATGATGAAACAGAAGAAAACATTCATGAAGAGATACAGCAATAAAGACAGAAGAGAACACAGCATTCAAAATGCGAAACGACTCACTTTTGAAAAAGAAAATCACTAACAGAAACAGAAGTGAATTTTAGGAAGCATCTGCTGTGTATTCAATACAATTCAAAAAAACATAGATCTGTGAAACAAAGGTAAAAGCCCAAATCAATATAATAAAAAGTTTCTTTAAAAAGAAACAAAACATGACAATAGAAAGACTACAATCACTTACTGCTAAAAAGAAGTTAAGTGGTGACCAGTTTTGTATATACCCATCTCCTGTTTGGGTGTCACCCATGTCAGATACAAGCTGCAGCTGCCAATTTTCTGCTTTATGTAGCTGCCACATAAACCCTAGCAATTCCAGATGCCCCTTTCAAATTCTGTTGAGCTTTAGCATAGCATTCAGGTGCTTATGCTCCATCGGCCCCTCGGCCCACTTTTCTCTACCTCTTTATCCTTTCCATTTGGGATATCCGGCCCTGCCCTGCCATAACCTACCTACCTCTTGGTGAAATGGCTATTCTTTGGGCAAAAGAGTTTCAAACTAGCTCTTTTATCATTGGCCAATTAGTAGTTTCAAAAGTTCCTGAGAATAAGGACCCCTCTCCATTTGTCTTCATAGTGAAGATATTCCCTAGATCTTAATCTATCTTAAGAAGGGTTGTCTGAAAATTAGCCAGGATCTTTCCTACCCATGTCATAAAATATTTTTGTTCAATTGGAAAAGACTAGCTGAGACCGAAGAGCTCAGCTGCTCTCCTTTGTTTTCCTAGTAAAGTTGTCTAGAGGCTTTTCATGTGAATCCATTCCATCTAAAAGGTGAATGTCTTCAGGGGCCAGGTCCCATGCTATGCTGTAGCCTATATTTTGGGAAAGATGGATATCTGGTGTTTTAATACTACCCAGGGGAATTTTTGGCCTGGGCACCTAAGGGGAATTTATTTCATGAGTATTCAAAATAAATTCACAAGGAAGGAAGATAAAGAAGTTGGAAAATACACAAATAATAATAATAATGATAATAATAAGGTTTCTCTTCTGAGAGAATGTTCATAGTTTCCGGCCCTCCATCCATTTCTGTCACTGTGGCTGCCAGATAATAGTTCCAGTATAGAAGTGCAACACCATTTTAGGAAGTGCTTATGCCTTCCAACTTTGGCAAGATGCCTTTCAGTTAAGACAGTGTGCAATTTCATTGTGGATGAGCCATTGCATCTTTTCATGACTCTTGCATTTCTTGGTGTAAATGCTTTGCTTTCTGTATGCTTCTTAGCTGCAAGGCATATGATGAGATACTACATATCTTCAGTTCCCTGTGCCCTCAGATCCAGAGCAAGCCCTGGATGCTGACTTCCCCTGACCCCATACCAATCAACATGTGGGATGCATAAAGGTGTTGGAAGAGGGAAACTATGTGAGGAAAGGCCAGAGCACTGTATTTTGGAATTTAAAAGGATGTTAGGGAGGAGAGGTATTCTTTTTTTTTTTTTTCCACAAAGATAATTCCTAGAACCAATGGAGTGAACTTCATTAAGAAGCAACGTATTGGTTCAACTTTATAACTTAGAAAACTGCCTTATACTGGACTAGGCACTATTCCCCACCCCAGTAAGGTCACAGAAAGCCCTACGACCCTATGCCTTGAAAACGTACACATT